TTATATATATATATTGTATTTAGTGTGTGACATGTGTAACACTGAGTCCGCGTGTGAACATCTGTGTATGATGATGGATTTTGGAATGTACATGTTGTATATAGAACATAGTGGAATGTTGTAAACTGAATTTTTAGTTTAAGAAAGCCAATGGTTTGCGTGCAAAAAGCTATATTTTGATATGGTTAATATATGGTTAATGGAAACTTAAGTTAATTTGAGAGTAAACATAAACTGAATTTTTAGTTTAAGAAAGCCAATGGTTTGCGTGCAAAAAGTTATATTTTGATATGATTAATATATAGTTAACGGAAACTTAAGTTAATTTGAGAGTAAACATAAACCTGAAAAATAGTGTAAAGTTTAAAGATAATGGCTAAAGTATCCAGAAGGGGACAGGGACCATGGTTCAAATGAAAGAAGACACCAAGAAGTGATCAGTCTTCAAAGTTTCTAGGATAGAGCTATTACACATTATTCAAAATCATACATAGCCTATGATATTTGTAGTAAATACGTTGTATGAAAATGTTGTTCATTGAAAATTTTAAAAGAACAATCAGTTTTTAGTCCTCATACAGTGGACATGTTCATATTTACTTATTTTTTCCTTTGTCTCCAAAAAAAATAGCTGTATTTGTTCCGAAATGACCGTGTGTCGGATTTTCGAAGTCGTTATTTTACAAATAATGTTAGAGGTACGTACCAATCGGCGCTCGTACAGTTCTGACTTACCGGGGTAGTGGTGGGAAATATCAAAGTATTTACCAGAATAGCTATCAATGAAGTACCCCAGGCAAACCATCCGATGTAGAAAGCATAGCCGTACTGCCATGTTGTGCCATGTCCCGCTATGGTATGCAGTGAGATAACCACCATCGTAACCAATATAAATACATTCTGTGGATAGGAAAAGAAACCACAACGATCAAAGATTAGATTCCAAGATAACAAAAAAGTTTACGATTGACAACGTCCATGAATCGCCGTGCGCAACACTGGCCACATAGTCATGGGATATTCATTTAACTTGAGAGCGATAGAAAATAATGAATGCTCGTCTGCAATTTCTTCTTTTTGAGCACAAGTTATCATTGTGAGTATATGAATAAACTTGATTCCAATCCCACTCTAAGGGATGAAAACGCACGGAATAACAACTGTTATTGTCAGTTAAATTCAGACAACAGACATCGTAAACTTTTAAATACAACACAACTTAAACCCATAAACTTAATATTCTCATACCTGCAGAGTATTAGCTAGCATCGCGGCACGAAGAATCTGCGTATGTCTGGAAGAGAGTGTGTAGGCTGAAAGCATGGACGCCACCGTTCCCAGAACTACCGACAAGATCAGGAATACGCGCGAAATCTTCACGATCTTGATGTGTTTAACACACTCGTCTTCTTTATCGTCCGTAGTTATTTTCGTATTGTCGCCGTGATCAAATATGTTTATATCTCCAGTTGTGCTACCTGAATCGCCTGTCAAGTGGCCCTGAAGCACATTCTTTCCTATTTCTACCCCTGCTACGGCTGGGCCTTGAACGCGTGTCGAGTGCACGTCTTTCAGATTCGTATTCGCACTTGAGCTGGCTGCTCTATACACTACTGGTACTATATGTACTGTTTCTACTGATCGAACGGGTTCTCGACGTACTATACGCTTGTCGTTTCTGCGCGTGCGAAGAAACTCAGTGTGGTGCAAGGCACAGTATCCGTCGCCTTCGTCAATCGGCACGCATAGATTAGTCTTTTTATCGCAGACACTCCATAAACCACGCGCTAAATCAGTACCACCCGATGCGGTAACTATCCTGAGCGACTCCCATTCATCACCGAATAAGGCAGTCAATGCAATCCCTGTCGAGAACACCAGCAAAACAAGACTTAATACATTTATGAGCCCTTGAGCTCGTGTGCCTTTCTGTGACATTGTGAGAAACAAACTAATAATATCTCTGAAACTACTGGAAGTATATGTGCTGATTTAACAGTGTGTGACTTATCGTGTTGGCAACCATCGATCAAGTTTTTTTCTTCTCGGAAGTAGTGATTAATGACCGTGTATGCTCTCGATTGTTGAATTTATAAGAACGGCATGTACGCGTTGTGATGTACCCACCAAACCTTCTGGTAGCGTTGCAACTTTCAATATGTTCTGATACCTATTAGTTGTGATACTGACGCTATTAATATAATAAATATATTGCCACACACACATATATATATATATATATATATTGTTGGTTTTTTCTAAGAATACTGTGTGGTATTTACAGATCTACATATTGCCCTTTCGTTTCTTATTTATTAGATTTTTACAGACGACACACATACTATTTATAGTTTTATACCAGGGACGTATCAACATAATAAGTATTTACTCCGTTCACGCATCGTTATGGCAACCTTATAAAAACCCGTCCCTCATTCGGCCGATATATACTCTCAATGTTACGTCATGCATAACTTGATGGTATGAAATCGATTTTTTCTATAAATTTCTGTGCTGTGTCTCAGGTGTTTGAAATCGATGATGTGGCAGATGTGCACACACTGCACTCTGGTGAGTGGAGTGACTCACAGACTCACAGTCTCACAATCACCAGAGAGTGTGACTGGTGACAGACTACGGAGTACAGACATCTGAGACTGAGAGACTGGGTTCAACATCTCTGAAAAAAATGTCAACGTGATGTGTCGGATATGTCATATGATCATACGACACTATAAAATGACGATAGAAATCATATGGGCACAGCGCCGTAGCGGCCATAGCCTTCAATCACTTACGGGCTCTGGATATTTGATACTGCAGTTCGGTACATATCAAGGTCCAATAGATACCAAACACCAATGCACATGATTTATCACACACACCATAGCACATGAGTGCTTGCTAGCAGTCTATGCCCCCGGCTATGTAGCATACCACGGAAGCCAAGAGCTGGTACATGCCAGTGACAATGTAGCTCACCATCAACGCTCAATATCACACACAGCAAGAGATCATTATGTACACAAAGTTCTCACACATATACAGCTCGGATTGTCTCAAATAGCGCAAGGTGTGTTGTTCATGTGCATTCAGGATTCCAGTAATAGAAGTGCCCTGTTTTTTGTCAACTTGATTTGAATGCACACCGTGCTAGTACAACTATAGCCTAAACTATCGCAAATATTATACAGTGTACTATTCGAGTATATCCAACATTATAGAAGCATAGGTGTTGTTAGTGTTCAAGTTCAGCTTCGTGGCTTTCTTTTAGATTGTAGCCGTATCCACTTTGACATTTCTTTCGATCTGGCAGTATGACTCGTGTTGCAGTGCCAATGCCGATTGTCCAAATTAAAGCTCAACATCGTTTCATTACAATAATGCATCCAAAGCCCTCTAAATAATAAAGCCCTCTAATGTACTATTTAAATGGCTAATATGATGCAATGGTTGAATATTTCCAATATAGTTATATAAATATATATATATATATATTTATATTTATATATATATATACATATTTATATTTATATATCTATATGTGTGGGTGTGTGTGTGTGTGTTGTATATATATATATATATATGCGTGTGTGTGTGTGTGTGTATGTATATATATATATGTGTGTGTGTGTGTGTGTGTGTGTGTGTATGTATGTATGTATGTAGGTATGTATGTATGCATGTATGTATGTATATATATATATATGTATGTATGTGCATATATATATATAAATATATATATATGTGTGTGTGTGTGTGTGTGTGTTCATGTATTATATATATCTGTGTCTATGTCCATATCTGTGTGTATCTGCGTGTTTGCGTGACTATGTATCTATGTGTCTGTGTCTGTGTATATTATATGTATATATATATATTTTATATATATATATATATTATATATATATATTTATATATATATATATATTTATATG